CAAGAAAGGATGCCATTTTTAGGTAGGCTTACCCTCCTTCTGTAGACACAAGAGAAAGGGGGAAAAAAATGATACTATGGTGGAAAGAAGAGACAGAGGTAGAAAAGGTAGTTGAGTTCCTGTGGCCCCGAAAAGACTAGGCAGAAATCATCTGCACTCCAGTTGTCTGCCATAATAATTTACTCCAAATTGTTTACCAGGAACTGGCCAAAAGCTGGGTTGCAGCAGCAGGAACTGTGGCTACAAGACTGGGGTGTGGGGGGGTATAGGTTCTGGAAAATATGGGGTTCCATTATCAGAGAACTGGCAGTGGGGAGAACACACCTTGTGTCCCAGGAGAAGAGTGACACTTGGACATTGCCCCACAGAGGCACTGAAGGCCCACAGAGACGCAGCAGCAATCAACTAGCAGAGACAAATAGGGACATGAATGCAATGGAGATGGCTCCCTCTCCCTTTCCCTCTCCCTCCTAACTCCTCCCATTCCAAGGCACTGGAGGCTCTGAAAGATGAAACAAGGGAAATTGAGTTTTAGATTAAAATTGTGAGTATAAAAGTTGAAAACTGAACTCAATTATAGTCAGTTGTCCACAAATGTTTAGAATCAGCCAAAAATATTCATAAAAACAGAAAAAAGTCTTCTAATCAATAAAGTCAAAGGTAGAATTAGAAGAAAAGGCAAGTCATTAGCTTCTTCACCGAGTTGAGACCACTAAGTAAACCTGCTGGATTTGTAAGCATTTACCCATTTTTTTCTGGAAGCAGTTTATTTCTGTGAAAAGTGAATGAGTATGCTCAAAGGACACACCAGCTGGTGTTAACACTGATTTTAACACCATCAATGTGCCATTTTAGCATCCTTCACATCGACTGTAGGAATGTCACGGACACTCTGAACTTGGCTCCTTTACAATTGCTGTCTGATGTCGTGCTGCCATGGTTCAGTGGTACAAGGTGGTGCTGAATTAGTTGCCATGAGTGAGATAAAATACACACCAGCAGTTATATTGACCTTGTGCAAATTATGCAATCATTCAACCTCAGGCTTTTGCTAGAATCCAGTAAGATATGAGGCTATCAGAAACGTTACATCGTGCATCACAGTGGGAACATGAGGTGCTCAAGAAATGTTCATAGAAACCAATCTTAATAAAACACTTTTCTAGAGGAAATTCTGGTACATAACCCTTGTTTAAATGAATACATGTACCAAAAGGACTTTTTTGAAAGTTGTTTCACAGAAGAGCATCCATGCAGTACAGATGCGAGGACAGCAGTACCTCCACCTTCCTCCAGATAATTTCTTGTTTTTTTTTTTTAATTTTCTTGGAAAATTTTAAAGCATAGTTCATCCTGATAACAGTTGAACATCAGCTATATAATCCTGTTTCAAAGCCATTCTGTTTAATGATTTTTAAGCTTTTCTTTTCAGAAAGAAAGCAGTAACATCAGTAAACAGAGGGGTTCTGAATGAGGGAAATAGTAATAAATATAGGTCCAAAACTATGACTTTCTATGTAGAAGGCAATTCAGAGCTGAAAGGAAAAGATTGAAACTAAGAGCTCTGAAACCAGCAACAGTCCACAGATCAAAGCAGTACAAGTCAAGAGTAATAAAGGACTGAGGAGCAACTCCAGCCTCACAGGAGGCCAGGAAAACACACCTTTCTTTAGAAGAAAAGTTCAGAATAGCTGGGCTGGAGCCTACAATTTCTTAACTGAGAGAACACTGAAAACCTTAGGAGTGCTCATTTCTTTGATTTTAACTTAAGTATCTGAAGAAGACAAAAGAAGTTCATCAACATAGATATTTAAGTCACTTTCTTAATAAATATGTACCAAAAAAGCAAGTACACCTTGCTTTGTAGCTTTGACTCCAGTTATGAATATCTGAAGAAAATATTCTTGGGCACCAAGATATCCCAAAATCTAAAACAATGGTTTGTAACTGTAGATAAACTCAGAATCATCTGAGTTTTTTTTTTTTTTTTAAATAAAATGAACCACAGGCTTGGTTCTCAATTCAAACCATGTGAATCAGGAATTCCTAGGGCAGGTGGGGTCCAGGAACAAGTACCACAACATGATGGTCTCCAGAGATGCTACTATGCACCCTTCCTTTATAACCACCAGCCATCACCAATCAACTGGTGGTAGCTCCCGCTATTGTAGAGCAAGAGTTAATTCAATACACCCCTTCCCACATGAGAAAGCCAAGAGCCTTTCATTATCTGATTTTGCAATCTCTGGTCAATTATCCTCGAGAAATCTAACCTGTTGTAGCTTTAATAGTCTAAATGCATCCTGAAACTTCCCCTAAAATAGTCAGATTTGCCCAAATAATAAGGGAAGCTGTTGGCTGAATTTATCAGAGAAGATTTATGGTGCAGTACCGAGTTTGACCCTAAGGCACAGCAATAATGAAGTAGGTGGAGAGAATTTGGAGAGCACTCAAACCTGATTTTCAGTTCAAGAAATATACACCAGAGATTTGCTACATGACAATGTCAGAGTAATCAACATGGAAGACAAAGATGATGGGCACCAGGCTCTGTCTCTGAAAGGCTTGCACTGACTCGTACTAAAATGCACACTCATCATCTATGCAAATAGCTACCAGTAGAATATAACAGGCTTCATATAAGTCCTGGCTTTTTTAGATCAGCCTTATATAACAAAGGAACTCAACAGGAAGAATTTGAGGAAAATCACTCTCCAAGGCAAGGAAGAAGGACTTATGTGAGGAAGAGCAAGTAATCCAATTTGACAGAGCATAAAAAAAATGAGAGATTTAATCAGACATCTAAAAAAGCTTAAATCATAATTTAGAAAATTCTGAATGCTAGTTTGATGCATTTTCTACTTAATAGCGTGGAGTCATCATAATTTATGCTCCAAGGAATATAACCAGAGTTGTAATTTAGAAAGGAAAAAAATATATAGCATTTTGTAGGCTTATTAGAAACAAGGGGAGAGGCAGAAAACCCAGAAGGCTCAGACAGCAGTCCAAGGGTGGTCAAGCGTAAGCCAGACACAGCCTCCTTGGCCACAGCAAGTACCTCTCTGTACTATGAATACTGTATTTACTGTAAAGGTGTCATGAGGATCTTCCTAGTTTAGCAGTAAAGCAAATGAACTGTTTCAAAAGAATAATGAGTATAAAACTAAAGTGTCGTAAGTGATTAGTACCCCAAGAACTAGAAATTAAATCATTAATACATTTAAGTTGCTCTAAAAAAATCACATTTAGATAATACTATAAAAACATTATTCTCATATTTGCATATCAAATATATGCCTCTGAAAAGGAAAATATTCCAATCTTCATTGATTTAGGCAGGTAAATGATCAATGCTTCAGAGGCAACTTACCCACATGCCCATGTCACCTATGTCCCTCATGTTCCACTAAGAAGGGAAGAAAACTTTTTTTTAACTTTCTTTATGAAAGGATCATTAACTTGCTTTCTGTGCAAACATATGCAATACTGATTATAAAGGCTATGTTTGTTCAATGGAACCACAAAGCTTGCATTTATGGAAATACAATAAAGAGGGTCCTGGGAAGTATTTGGGAACCAAGACCCGTGAGTGTCTTTAACTTAGGGAGAATTTAGCATAGGTAGAATTTATTTCAATATCAAGTGTTTGAGCATCCAGGAAGAAAGTGATGGACTCTACCTATCCTAGCATTTCTTTATTAAGCTATGCCCCATCCTTCAAAGTATTTTTTACCAGTTTATACCTTTTTACATTTGTAAAAACTCCTTTATTCCATTAGAGGAGGAAGGAAAAAAAGCCCATTATCTCACAATTAGCCCAAGTGGAATCCAGGCTTAGGTTTCCAGGAAACTACTTCAATGGATCTTCTCTGGCCCCTCAGTCGTTACTGTGATCTGCTGTTTCTGCCAGACTCCCATGTCTTCACCTCAAAGTCAGCCGCCTTCAGTACCCTGCCCAAGCTTCTAAGGTCAGAAAGGAACTTGGGGCATATATTTTTAAAAGACATGCCAAAGGTTTGATGAATGTTAAAATGCTCTTATAAAATAACTTGATATGAGTTAATTGTGAATTCATGAGAAACATGTGAACCCAAATAAATGTAAATAAAACTCACTAGTTTAAAAAAAAAGTGAGTTCATTTAGCAGAAAATACTTAGCCAACTCCCAGATATTTAAGCAATAAGTCATGACAGTCTGAAGCCAAAGCATGCTCTGTGCATTAAAGAAGGCATATTTGTGAGTGAGAACCATCCAATTCCCTAAGGACTCGCTGAGTTGACAATGTACTTTAGTGTTTGATTGCTGCAAGAAGTCCAGGAAATGGAAGAGTTCTCTGAAAAAAAGTATCACTTGAGAAATACACTCCCAACAACAGTGAATCTGTCCTTTATCACTTTAGTCCCACTTTTTGGTTGATAACATCTTGAAGTAGAGAAGGAAACTGAATTGGTTTTGGTGTTTCTGAAAGCCCTGAACCTGCCCAAGGAAAGTTCTTCAGAGCAAGTTAAAAATTAAAACTGAGCTTCATTCAGCCCAGGTGTCATTGATATGGTGATCAATCCCACAATCAGCATTTAACAATTCTCTCACTCTAATACAAACTCATCATTACCTCCTAAATGGGTTGGAGGTGTAGTTATTCTTAGATTAGATGGTTGGTTATTTAATGCTTTAAAAATCTGGAAACTCAGATAGTATCCCTATTTGGCTTTGAAATTAAGCCAAAAGAATATAGATTTACTAGAGTAGGGAATAGTACCATAAATGTTTTTGTGAAAAGAAGTCATATTCAGAACTATTATTTTTAGAAGATTTCCTGGAAACAGATCTCCCACTGTAATGACTGGCAAAGAGTTTGGAGTTATGAAGGACACCTAGATCAGGACCCGATTTCATTTAGGAGGCACATATCCAACTCAACCGAAAGAAGTTATTATGTTTGTTGGGCTATGCTCACCCTTGACGAGCTGCAGGACCCACCACACCAAGGACTTCTTACCTTGCAATCCTGTCTCCATTCATCTCCTGTGGCTCCTCTCCTCTGCTTCTCCTCATTTGTTAGGTTCAGGCTCTTTTTCTGTAAGTTGTCCTTCTCTGTTGGTGGGAGACATGGCTGCTAGCAAGCTCAGTCAGACACAATCCCCAGGTACAGATGGAAAATGCTTATTGGCTCTGCTTTTATCATGTGCTCAACTTAATTTATTGTCAGGCTCAGAGCAAGGGCTAGTCTAAGTGGCCTCACCTGGCTCACAGGGTTAGTCTACAGTGGCCGCACCTGGCTCACAGGTATAGCTAGAGATAGTGGGCATGCATTGAGAGAAGGGAGAGTGGGAGACCTTGCTAAACAGACTGGTGCTACTACTACTAATGACCTCAACGATTTTACCATCTTCTAGAAAGCCTGTTAGACTATTTCGGGCATGTGTCTACTCTAGAGAGCAACTATAGAAATGTTTTCTTCTCCTCTTCTCTAGAAGGAACCCTTCCTATAAAACCAAGTTCATCTCTCATTTCCTCCCATAACCCAGTCACATTTCTCTAAACTCTTTTTTTAAAATAAATTTATTTATTCATTTATTTTATAATAGAATGCATTTTGACATATTGTACACAAATGGAACATAATTGCTCATTCTCTGAACTCTTCTAAAGATCTTTTTCAAATAATTTATCATTGAAATGGTTAAATTTGTTTGTTTCTCTATTTTTCTATATGTACATAAAATAAATATAATTTTAAAATCTAGAAATTTATTTATATAACTATGATGGTGTTCATTTTATCTTTAAATCTATAGTAAGTTCTTCAAATCTTATGTTCCTTCTACACTATAAGCAGCTGAGTGATCTATTTAAATATGTATCATCAGGGAAATTTTCCTATTCAGCAGTTCCATGATAGCCTTTTACAAAAGTAATTATGATCCTAAAGAAAGTGTAGACCTTAAAAAATCTAAATGCTTGTATACATAATTAAGAGTTAGGATGACTGTACCCTAAATTAATTTTTTTTTCTCCATAATAATGCTCAATTGATTAGGATGAATTAATCTTTTTACCAACAATAGTTTTGAATTGATTTGTCTTCTATTTCTGTCTCTTGATTACCCATGTGTGATGGTCAATTTTGTGTCCAGATTAAATATTACTTTTAGGTATATTTCTGTGGGCATTTGTGAATAAGATTAGCATTTGCATCAGAGGATTGGGCATTTAGACAAAGGGTTCTCTTGGTTTTTAGACGTTCTCACACAAAATATAAGTACACCACTAGCTTGTCTTACTTTCCAGCTTACAGACAACAAACCATGAGACTTCTTAGCCTCCATAATCATATGAGGTAATTCTTCATAATAAACCAATATCATCTTTGTTCTGTTTCTCTGGAGAACTCTAGTATATCATGCAATCAACAGACTTTGGTCATGAGCTGCCTGAAATTATTAGGTCACCTATTATTTGATTTAATGATTTATATTAATACAGCCTCAGCAAGTATAGAGAATCAATTTGATTGCCTAGGGTGACCAGATCCAATATGCAACATAGAAATTATAATATTTCCCTTGTGATACTTTAAAGTGACTTTATAATATTAGTGAGTTGGTACCAGCCCCTTTATTTCTTTTTTTTTTTTATCGATTTTTCAAAACATTACAGAGCTCAAGACATATCATCTTTCATACATTCGACTCAATTGGGTTTTGAACTCCCAAATACATAATACAGACTCACTTCTGTTACATACTCACATTTTTACATAATGGCATATTAGTGACTGTTGTATTCTGCTACCTTTCCTATCCCCTACTATCCCCCCTCCCCTCCCCTCCCCTCCCATCTTCCCTCTCTACCTCCTCTGCTGTTGTTCAATTCTCTTTATTTCTTTATGATAATCTTGCTGAGAGTTTACTGTGAAAAGTTCTCAGAAAGATCGGCGTTACACATTTGCATCTAATCATGTGAGTTTCGATGTGGGAGAACTCTCTTGCAGTGATATCTGAGACAGGAAGATCCCTAATATCCCTCAGGCCCTGAAAGTGACACTCAGTAGAAATGTCATCATACCATGCTCTACTCCCACAAGAGCTGTGTCCCCCTCTTTTCATTCATTTCTTTTTTTCATTTATACAGCAAATATTTATTGAACACATATTCTGCACTTGGCCCTGAATTAATTATGTGCTCACATTTTCATCATTGTTAAAAAGTGCTTTCAGGAAGAAAGGAAAGAATGAACTAGAAAAGAGGGAAAAAAAGTAGAGAAAAAAGTAAAAATCTCCAACTTTCCCATTTTGCACTATCTTGTTGAAATTTTAATACTGATCCCCCCTATGTGTTTTCCACTGCCATCCCTAGTCAACTGATTTTTAAAATATATTCTACATTTAAAACTTTTATTTTTTGATCACCCCAATTGGAAGAGGTCAGGGATTAGAAATAACTCAAATGTTACAAAGTAACAACTAATGGATCTGCAATTAACACATTTTAGATATGAAGGCATGGGCTGGTATATACCCCTATCCTACAGGATGGCTCAACCAAAGCTCTTTCATTAACCTGACCTGAAAGTAATAAATTCCACAATTAATGCAATCAATTTTTTGGGCTGTCTTAAAGGGCTATGGTAGCATTTTAGTTACACCTCATACATAAAAAGAACAGGTCTGTCCTTGTTGTTAAATAACATTTCTTCTTCCTTTATCAATGGAGTTTGGCCCAAAGGTTTCTGATAGCAGAGGTGCATTCCTGACTTAGAACAACATATAAGTTAAGTCAGTCCTTTGGATATCTAGCTTAAGGCAAATCACGCTTCCTTAAATCATCTAATTCTCCCTCTTCTACTTTCTAATAAGTTGGCTCTCAAAAAGTGATCACCACCACAACCAATATCACCTGGAAATGCAAATTGTTGTGCTTCACTCAAGACCACTGGAGATTCTGAAGATGGGGCCCAGCAATCTGTTTTACCATCACTCCAGGTGAAAACCAGCACACACAATTGGACAGCCACTGCTGTAGCGTTATTTAGCACTGACACTAGCCAAAAAAATAAAGGTAGAAAATATGAGGAAATTTCCACTTTACAAAAATAAAGGAAAAACTTGACCCATGAAAGTCAAGTATTCAATTAGTTAGGAAATTTGCAAACGGGTTACCCAAAGCAGGATATTTTGTGAGTGGGACTCAAGTATGGGGATAAAGGAAAGAAGAGTCATAAAGTGAGAGTCATGTCAACATAAATTTGACTATGTTATTACAAACATAGTTATTACAAAAAAGGTATGATTCATTACATTTAAATTGAGTGCATCACAAAGAGAAAAAGGACAGGGAGAGTAGAGAAGAAATATAGAAGAAGATGATGGATGAAGAAGTTTAAATATGATTATGCCATGGCTTACAAAGTAATTTGAAACTCAAGCATTAGGAAAAATAACATTTACTACAATTTAAGAAGAAAAAGGAAGCCCTGATGAATAGGGGAAAATAAGTGAAGTAATGATAAAGAAAGTGTAATGATATAAAGAAAGGTCAAGAAAAGAACAGACTGTGAAGTTACATGCATGCTCTCACCGTGCTATTTTAAAAATAATGTTATGTGAATAAGAATTAGAAGATACAGTGAATAGCATTATGGAATAGACTAGTGGGTTTTTTTTCTTTAAAATTGACTCTAGTGCCAACGTATTCTGTTGTTAAGTTTGGGTGACTTCAGGCTGTGGGGAAGCTGTATGTACTAGGGGACACTATGATTCAGATTTTCTGCTCTACCTTATTAGTTGCATGGTGGCATCCTGCAGGGACTCAAAGCTGCTCATATTGTTGGTGTTTCATGTACAAATCCCCTACAACTATGTTCTCACCCAGTTCCTCAGGTGTCACCTTTTAACAGTGAGCCTGACTTATGTGGGTATACTTCAAAAGCCTGGCAAAATTTCTGGGGAAGAGCTAAATTGCACATCCTTATTTTTAAAATATTCTGTTCTAAATGTAGGAGATACATATCAAGTCATTTGAAACTTCAAAGTCACATTTATATAGTGTGGTTAACTTAGATGATAAAATTGATATTGTCATAAATAACAGACATGTGGAAAGAACAAAATAAGAGAGCTCTGCTAGGAAATCCTACTACACTTTAATCATTAGAGTCACATAATAAGATGTTACTGAGAATGGAACAGCATTAGGAAAAATAAGCAAATATACTGAATGTGAACAATTAAGAAAATGTCAAGTACAAAGGGCCAGATCTTTTAAAGAATAAATAATTGGTGAAATATTTATTTCTCCAGGACCCATAGGGAAAATAAATAGAAATGGAAGAAATAGAAAGGAACTTGCTCCAAAGGCTTGGTAGCTTGAAGAACAGCTGGATTTAATTCAGCTTTCCCAAGAAAAGAGAGGAAAGTTTGGAAACAATCCAACTTGACTGTCCAGATTAATGTAGCTTTCATCCATTCATTTATTCATCCACAAACCTCCACTGGGTAGTCACCAAACAACAAGAGGGTGACATGCAAGTTTCCTGAAGATTTTCTCTGATCTTTTGGCTCTTCTCTTTTCTCTCATTTTTGAAACACTGACCCTTCACTGGGAAGAAAGTTCCATACCACCAAATTAGTTACATTACAGGACTTAGGATAATCTGAAGAAAGAGATCCTGAAAGTCTACTTTACAAGACCACCCACAATGAAAAAGAAATGAGAGCCTCCTAAAAGAAATACTAGAAGAAATATAAAAATTATACATTTTTATAATGTAATAAAATTGTATTATAAAAATGTATAATATTGTCAAGGACAAAAAGAAAAAAAAAACAGATAAATACAGGGTGTCAGTGCCATGCATCAAAAGCAATTGTTGGTAACTGTTATTTAACTGTTATCTAGTATTCATGGATGTCTGCAAGGCTGTTGTACACACCTGAGTGAGGTGTCTTCTTTCTAAGCAATGGGATGGAGTCATCTATGCACCTGACAATTCCAGATAAGAAAGCAGCATAATAGTGGAGTCTTGATAAAACTTGAGCTTCCTGGCCCTTTCAGAAGGAAGTTAGTTTCTCTGTGGCTAATTCAAGTATAAGGAGAGCTACCCCCAATGCCCACACCTTCCACCACAGATAACTTCCTTTATCTACCTACAGTTATGCCTATAATTTTGAGCACATGCTCACATAATCACAACCATATAAAAAGAAACAGCAAATCTGGTGGGAAGACCCCCCAGCCTGATTTAAAACTGTGGGTAGCAGCCAGTGAATTTCTGATGTGTCTGATAGAAAAAAATCTCTCTGGTATATCTGTCTTCTCTTTCAAGCAAGATACAAAATTATTGGGGTTGGGGGGAGGTAGGGGAAGTCTTGGATTTCAAGCAAAATACACCTAATCTACCCAAACCTGAACCACAATTAGACTACCCATATTATAATAGTACTGCAAATAAAAATTGTGGTCTGAAAGAATGCACAATGAAAGCCAATTCTTAAAGCAATAGTTACAGTTGACCTCAAATGTAATTTAGAACAGGGTTAATTTAGAATGCCAGAGAAAGGGAAAGGTCTGATTACTTATGTTTGGGATATTCCAATCCCACCAAGAAATCAAAATGACTCACCTAATTCCCAGATGAGACCATCACACTGTGGATAGAGAAATTCCCAACTCAATGTTCTGAAAACAAGATCACAGAAGCACGATTATTAAGAGTTGGAAAGTCATGAGCATTTATGTATTATAATATTGTACTTAATATCTCAATTCTCTTTACATCATTCTAAAAGAATAGTCATAGACTTTGAACAAGGAAATCATTATCTCACAGTAATGTTTATGTGACAGTAAAGTTCCTGGGTACCTAAAATGATGTTTATTCCCCCTTTTTTTTTGCTCATGTTATTAATTAACATTTATTTTTATACATATCTGTATATGTATATATAAAAATTCTATGTCCCCATATGCCAAGAATTTGATGCTTTCTTATTCTACCTTCCACCAGATTATATGAGCCAGAAAACCACTCTTTTGTTCAGCCTACCTAATCACACCAGGCAAGAAGACAATATATGTGAAAAAAGAATATCACAAATGTTAAATTAATATTCCTTTTCTATCTCAGAAGTAGCTAAAAGGCCCATTGGTGTTATGTTAGAACCATTCATATTGAATGCATGTTGCTTTGTAATGTATCTTTCTCTAGCAGGTTCCAACAAGGGGCAAAGGAAGATAAGAAAAATAAAGACCACACACATACAGATGTTATTGAAGATAAAGCCGGAGTCGGTAGAGTGCTGCTCTCTGATGGAGAAGCAGTTCTCAAGAGTTATACCAGCAATCTATATTTATACATGTCTCATTATCAGATGAAAGACTATGCAAGTATTATTCTTTGTATTCAGGAAAGTTACAGGAACTAGAAACATCTATGTAGCTTTTCCACAGTTGCAATCCACAGTTGCCATGGGCAATGTTAGGAACTTTGTATAGTACTCAAGAAAGTCCATTGTTCAAAGTTACTGTTCAGTGGGCAGGGTAGTGGAGTTGGTGAAACATTGTGGTTATCTAGCAAGAAAGTTCCTCTATTCCCAGGAGCTATATACCTGAGATCAAGGTAGAGGCTGATAAGACTCTAGCACAAAGCCTTCTCTTGCAGGGCATTAGCACAGCAGCTAGGTATCCTGCACCTTTGCACAGAAACATTCCCAGGCACCAGGCATGCTATAACCGTGAGGTCATCAGAGACTCCAATCTCAGATACCGTTCTCCCATTCTCTGTCACCACTCTCCACACTCTCCTTCATCTAGACACCCACAGAGAAGAGTCACAAAGTATATGTAATTAAAGAACTGAGAGATTCCTCAGGGATCATCTACTATAGCCCTTGCAGAAGGGGTTAAACAGATCCAAAAAATCCTGGAAGAAGTTTTGAAGGAAGACATGGAAAGAAAAGATGATTGTGTCAGATAAAGCTGGATTATAGAAATGTGAACCCCAAAACCCAGGAAGTTTTATGTTTGCAAAGGAGCCACCAAAAAATTGAAGGACAGAGCTAAAAGTCAAATGCCAAGTGATATTCTAATATTCACGGATATGTATTCATTTAATCCTCAAAATAATTCTAGAAGGTAGGTGCCAAACTTATCTCATTTCACAAACGAAAAACTTCAAAATCTTCGCTCTTAAATTTGTTAGGCAGCATGAAATTTAGGATTGAGATCAATTTAAAAAAAAAAAAAACTCAGTAAACAGGGACTAGGTTAGCATTTTAATTATCCAACAAATAAAATAGACCACTTCCTCAAAAGAAAAATTATCTAAGAGCAAAAAATGAAGAAATAATTAATGAGACAGGGTCTTACAAAAAGCAGAAAATGGTTTGCAGCATCCATCTGTTTCCTATATAGGCCTCCAATAAAACCTAAGGCCACAACAATGATCTGGAACTCAGCAGGATGCCCACAAGTGAAGAAAGCATGAGCTGAAGAACAGATGGTCCTCCAGCACAGGGGGCCTTCTTCTGAAAGGAGTTTTCCCTGTCTGTCCAGCTAGTGTAACTCAGGAGGGAAGCCAACAGAAGAGGATTACACAACTGAATAAAACCTTTTTTGTGCTTTTTTCATATTTAGGAGACAGCATGGGAATAAACCCCACAATAAAGCCACCTGTTGAGGTAGCAACATACTTATTAAACTAAAAATTTTCCCTGGACATAGGTTCAGCTGTGTCTGTGATAGTTCTTCATTCTTCTTTTTTCCTTTCTTGTTGGAAAACACAAAGTTCCCCCACCCTGCCCACACACTTATGCCTTCTACCGTGCCACTATGATCCAGGTATTCATTCACAAATATATATTGAGTTCTCTACTATATAGGATCCTAAACACTAATGGAAAATTCAGTCTTCAATAACTATGTGCATCTGCTCCTATCATTTCCCCTTCTCTTCCTGTTAGCATGGAAAAAGTTCTCCTATCAAAGGTTCTCCTATCAAAGTCCAATCTCCCAAATTTCTAAATCTATTCCCCTCTCGTTTCTCAGAAACCTGCTTCATTCACTAGCTTGTCTCTGTCCTTATATCCAAGCCCTTCTTCTCCACAATATCATTCCCTACAACAGGGAAACATCAACTAAAAAAAAAACAAAAAACAAAAGACACTTTTTCTTCACCTCATCCTTCTTCAGCTACCCATTTCCCAACTCTACCCAAGCTTCTGCACATGCTACATTTGCTTTCTTACTTTTAATTCAATCTTTAATTGAATCTTAATTACTCTGGCTAAGGTCACTGATAATGGTTGTTATTTGCGAAGATGACCCCAAACAATTCCACTGATTCTTGTAACAAGCAAGCTGCTCTTCCAAACACTGGAGTTTATTACTCCTTTTCTTCCGTGTCTCTGGTCTGGACCTCTGACTGTTTTGGCTGAAAAAATTCAGTGTAAGAGATGCTGTCTACCTTGATCTGGCATCTCCTGATTTTCTTTGAGTGCTCTTTTCTTAGACCACTCCCATCTCAGAGCCTGGCACCATGTTTCGAGAAGCCCAAGCCGTGGGGAGAGGCCACATGCCAGTGATCACCTACCTCCGGGCTTTCATGCCACCTGTTCACTCTTTCAAGGGGACTCATTGGTCTCCCTGCTCCACCTCTAATTCCATTTATTCTCCAAATCTTAAATTGAAGATTATTTCCTCAGTGATGATTTCATTTAAGACTTTAACTCTCATCAGGTATCAATGTTGCAATTTGTTGTCAAACATTTTATTTTCAGTTTATAGTGCTTATAAAAATGTGTGATTGTTATTTTATTCTAGAGTTATTTTTAATGTCTATCTCCTCAACAAACACATCATCTTCCTGTTTATATCATTGACTTTCATAGTAGGCATGACTAATATGACTCTCAATCATCCCTGACTCTTGGTATTTTTTGCTCTGTGTGATACCCTCTTTTTGAACATGGGTTTGACCTAGTGCATTTCTAATAAATAAATATGGCAAAATGATGAAATAGGATTTCCATAATTAGATTTTAAAAGACTGTGACTTGCATCAGCTGGCTTCATCTATTGACAAAGCAAGCTGCCATGTTGGAAAGACCCACATAGAAGGAACTGAGGGCAACCACTGACCAACAGCCATCAAAAAAGTAAATCCTGCCAACAACTTTGTGTGTGTTTAGGAGCAGGATTTTCCTTGAGATGACTACAACCTAGTGGACAACTTGATTGCTGGGAAGTAGTAGACCCACTTAAGCTAAGTTCGGATTTCTGACATGCAGAACTGTAAGATAATACATGAGCATTGTTTTAAACCACTAGGTTTGGGGGCAGTTTGGTACACAGAAATATACATCTTGCCTCCTGCAGCAGAATTAATTAATTTTAGTTTTTGTAGTATTTGAAACTGTTCTAAGAAATTCATATGTGGTCATTCATTTGATCATTACACAACAACCTTAGAAGGTATATACTATTGTTTTCCTAATTTTACACATGAGGAAATAGGCAGAAAGTTTCAGTACCTGCTAAAGTTTACTGAATTAGTAAGAATTAGAGTTAGTGCTTGACTTAGATATTCTAAATATTCATTAAGTGGATAGATGTCTATCTTACTCCAAAAATCAAGAAAACATTTTGGGGACTATTAAAGCATTTTTAGCACATTAACAAACTCAGAGAAATCAATCAATGCACATGTATAGAACTCTCATTGTGTGTTTGCATCTTTTGGCCATGTGGTTGGCATAAAATATCCTCTCCCTTAATGCAATATACACTGTAGATATTGTAGATACTTAATGCTAATTATAGATCAGTTAAAGAAATCATTCAAAAGAGCCTCATCATGAGATTTATGGCTAAAATATGTGAAACTGACCATTTTATTGGACATAAATGATCAACTTTGGCTGTAAGCCAGTGATTTTTTTTTCCACTTTGAAGTAGCTAATGGATGTCATATAGGATATCTTCTGGTTCCCCATTATATGATGTGCTAAAGAATCTCAAATCTTTCCAGTTCCATACCCATAAGCCAGGTCATGTGATTCACGTTGGATGATTTCCTGGCTATGACTTAGGTGTGGTTTCCAAATAAAATATGGCTCGACTCCAAAGACTGAAACCAGCTTGATCGCACTTCCTTACTGTATTCCTCACTAGAAACAAAAGAGAACCCCCAACAGTGTCTATTTCACAAGTTTGCTTTGAATAAAAGAGAAAATGGATGAAACTAAATTCTTCACCATTAATCCTACTTTACCTCCCAGGATTCTGTGGGTGTTTGGGGCAGTGATATAAAAAAACAAATATGCTGATACAGGCTTAAAAGGAATGTTACATGACCATGAGTCATTATAGCCATCACTTCAAAGCTGTTTTGTAACTAGCAGGAAGTGGTGTGTGTGTCTCCGGAGCATAAAATTGGCCTCAAAGTAGGTGGGGCCTACGAAAATATTGATGTACTATAAACATTATATTTCTCAACTATTGATAAGGTCATTACTATCCCACATTAAAGGTTAAATCTACCTCTGAGAGGTCCCACATGGATTTTTACAACATTCTTTGGGTTTTGGAACTTTTGCGATTCAACTCATTTCTGTAGTGTGTGGGAAAGGCAGCTTCAAGTCATCAAAAGAACACTGGGCTTGGAGTTCATCTGCAGGACTT